ATTGATCGTTGTATACGCGTACCTTCCACTCTATCTAATTCTCTTTGGTACGGCCGTACGTTCCCGAATCGAGCAACGCGATTGGTCGAAACTTTACTGTTACGAAAAAGTGTGTGTCCGGGGCTTAATTCAGTAGCGGCAGTAGCGCCACAATGGCCGCGTTCAGCAGACACAACTGCTGAGTTCGTCTTATCAACACTCTACGTTGATTGATTGGTTCTAAAAGTAAGAGCCAATCACGTTCGACTGCTACTGAGCGGTTTGGTCTGCTGAACGCGCCCAATGCAACAGTCATGCTAGGTCTACGGCTACGGTCAACGTGACGCTACAAATGCTTCGAAGTATTCATCTTCTCTTTTCTTTCAATGAAGAAAGAAAGAGAAGAAGAACGCTCCGAAGCATTTGTAGCGTCAATGCGAGTCGTAAAATCGTGAGTCGCAAGAATTGACCAATCACAGTCGATTGTTCTCCTCAAATTCGATTATGATTGGAATTCTTGCGACTCGCATTGTAGACCCCGCATAACAGTAAGGTTTCGACCAATCGCGTTGCTCGATTCGGCCGTCTGTAATCGTAGAATAAGTAAGAATCGCCCAAACTGAAAAAATATTATTGTCATATCTATTTGTATGGAGTCTATATAACTGTGTAATTATGGTTGAGGCGCTATTTCACTATCAACTAATAGTTGACAAATATTGTCACATAATAAACGTCACAGATGGTCACAGATTTTGTTACTCGGATAATGTGACCGAGTAACAAAATCTGTGACGTTTATTATATCCAGACCACTGTTATCTACACTGAGAGAAAATGAAATAGTTGTGGCTTCTCTCTGACGAAAGTATCTTTCTTATGAAGAGAAGATATACACTTCTTCATCAATTTTCCTGTCTGTAGAACGAGAACTTGTATGTTCAGAATGTTTATATTATTGTTTGTATTATAATAATTATATATTATAATAAATGTAACATGAAAATTGATGAAGAAGTGTATATCTTCTCTTCGTAAGAAAGATACTTTCGTCAACGGTCAAATCACGCCAAACCTACAAGTTCTCGTCCGATCACTTAAGTCAAGCGGCGTTGAGCGCGGTTAGTACTTAAATGGGTGACCGTTTGGGAACACCGCGTACTGTTGGCATTTTTTTTTTTTTTAAATTATTAGTTCTTTTATGTGGTCTTAAAATTTGCATTTTATATCGTTATAATTTTTAAATTTTACATGCAATTGATTTTCTAACTTTATAAATAAGTATAGTTATTTAGTAATTGGCTAAATTTGACTTAAATTATATTAAAATACAGACGTTTGTTTAAATTTCAAAACACTAAATGCACGTAAAAAACCAATAGAATACACACACACACATACTAGGCAATAAAACATTATTTAAATTGCTTCATATGTGTTTTGTATTCTGTAATATTTATTTGTATATTTATTAATTCGTAGCTCCATCAAAACCGCTGGGGTAGAACTTGGTCACCTCATATGAAACGGATAAACCCGTAAGACTTTCCATCTTATTGTTAGACGTGGCTTTGCGAAATATCGGGAAACCCGAACAGAGCTAGTTTTTTCATTGAGATCGGTGCAGCGTATTACGATTAAGACAAAGTACGACATTGTTATCTCGTACCTACAACACCGTCGTCTTCCATTGTATAATCCTAAAAAAAACAAATGTCTTCCAATTTTAAGGAGATGACTGTATATTAATTATATCTTAAGTGGCAATTAAACCTTACTTAACTTAATCTGTAATAATTCTACATCGCTATTTTTAACTCAAATTCTCAAGTAGCAAAAATAATTTTAGGAATATTTAATAGAATTATCTTTAAGTTAATTATATAGTATCTTTTCTTTTTCTAGAACCAACGCAAAGTTAAATTTAAAAAAAGATATAGAATTTAAAAAAATGTATATATGTATATATCACTCGGATATTTTATAATATATATATCAATTAGAAAAATTCTCAGAGTACTTAAATATTACCCAATCAAGTATTAAATGCCCAAATATTTAAGTGTAAAAGTATTAGCGCGAAAACTATAGATTTAGTTTTGTACTCAACACGCACAATGCCAAACTATTATTGTGTCTAGTGTACATAATAATAGTTAGAGAACGTATTTCATTTATGTCATTGTTATTCTATACAGCTATCTAGAAAAAATAAAATTGTGCATAATCAAAGTTATATTAATTTAATATTTCGGTGCTATATAGTCCCCTACATGTCGAGATCTTTTGCGCAATTTCTTTTGTCAATTTGTAACGTTCCACATTCCATTTATTTTTTCCCCGGTATTAATAATGTGTTAAGGGCCGGTCTATAATGGGTGTTGTAAGTCGTAAGTCGTAAGAATTGGCCAATCACAGTTCATTATTCTTCGACCGCAAGGAGAATAATGGTTAATTCTTACAACTCACGACTTACAACACCTATTGTAGACCAGCCCTAATACGAATAGCGATAAAGTTCTTATCACATTTTTCATTTACTTTTTTCGTTTTCCTTCGCCTTTCTTTAAAATATAAATGTGTGCTAGGCTTGCTTTATTCTTAATAATGTAAAAAAGAATATGCTGAAAAACCGTACTCATAAATTAGAAGCGCATTAAGAAATATGTATACACAAACTCTACATTATCTGCTGAATAAGTTCTATTTAATCATGAATTCCGACACATCTATAGCAGCGAGAAGGATGAAAGTAAAGACCCTCAAACGCTGATGGTGTGCACCCAAATGAAGTTTTCGAACGCAGTCCATGATGTAAAAAGATCCCTTTTTTTATATCACATGTAGAGTTTTTGTAAGTAGAATTGTGCCAATACCGTAGCTTTGGGCCGGTCTCACAGTCTCCGATTAACGTGATTCTCCGATTAAACTCACTCTTCGTCTCTTTCTAGGGGGATAGTTAGAAAGAGATGCAGAGTGAGTTTAATCGGAGAATCACGTTAATCGGAGACTGTGAGACCGGCCCTTTGTCTCACTCCCACTAAAGAACCGGAAGCGCTGATCGGGAAATGGCTGAGCCAATCAGCGAAAAGAACACCATTGGTCGCGTTCAGCAAACCAAGCCGCTCAGTAGCAGTCGAACGTGATTGGCTCTTACTTTTAGAACCAACCAATCAACGCAGAGTGTTGATAAGACGAACTCAACAGTTGTGTCTGCTGAACACGGCCAATGCTACAGCATTGATAGATGGCTTCCAATAGGTTGCAAATGTATTGACTGTGTTATTCCCTGTTCCTACTGTTGCCTGTACCTTTCTATATTGCGCATCTAGCTTTACTGGTCCATGGTTATGTAGTCAAAAAATTCAAAAAGGGCAGTCCCAGTCCATGGTTATGCAGTCAAGGGAGCGCACCAACAGCTGCATGTTCCAACATCTCTTCTCTTTCATGATTTTTTTTATATTATACGGATAAAAATCAAACCTGTTTTGCTGATAAACAGTAAGTATATAGTATAAAAATCGATATAAAACAGTTTAGTTGATTAATTTTTTGTTTTCAAGTTCAATTTCCGGAGCAATTTAAATTTTGCAATTTCTTTTTCTTTGATGCTCGTGCACGTGTGCTCTCTGTGTTCTATGATGGAGGAACATTGAACACACGTGCTCGCGATCGAAGGTTTGCAAAGAAATATTTCTCTATAAAAAAAATGTGAAAAATTGTTTTTTCTTTAAAATATTCAATTAGATAATAATGATATACATATTAATAATGATATACTGTTAAAATTAAATTTTTATTTAAAAAGAGTACACGAAGCATGTGCTTGCGATATTTCATATTTACAAAGAACTATTTCATTATTTTAAAAAATTTTAAGAAACTATTTTTTAATTTTAATTATTTTAATAATAATATATAATAATAATGCCGCGAGACGAGACGAGACGAGACAAGATTTAAACGAAACGAGACTTTGTCAAACTTTTTGAGACGGAACAAGAATCTCGTCTCAAAATTTCTCGTATCAGCGGCATCACTAAATGTTTAAGGGTCGACAGGAGTGACGGCCGAACTCCGGTGCACCAAACTCCGCCGCACCGGTCGATGAGTGACTCCACACTCCAACTCTCGCTATCAAATAATAATGTGATATTTACCGTTGCTAAGGCATCTAACAAATAAGCCATTTTACGCCTGCAGAGACCGACCTACCACTTTGTATAAGCTTATATTTGCTTTCAATTAATATAAAATTCAATCAGTCAAAATAAACCCAGTCAATACATTATACTATACCATATATTTATAATAAATACATATATCTATTTCATAAAAAAAAATATGTTAAATAGTACAATTTGTTAATAGAAAAGTAAAGAAATTGTACTTTCAGTAAAAATTAATGTTTTCAAAAATTATATAGATGTTACAGATATACACTATTCTCTGTAGACCAAGATTTGCAATGTATTGTTAATTAAAATCTTTTTCTACAAGGGCTGCAATATATTCACAGTCAGTATACTAAAAATATATAGTTTACATAGTGTCAGTATTAGCAATGTGAATGGAAGATGAATTTAGATTATATAATCTTTATGCTATAATTACAAATATATGATATTATAATGCATTTTAGCATATGCTACAAAAGCAAGGATTATAATTCTCCATATTTTTGGTCTTCTTTCAGAGAAAAAATATGGCATCCAATTACCAATTTTTATATCATGAGAATTGTGGTCGATATCCTTATATCGGCAGAAAATCTGTAGGAAAAGAGGATATTCGAGTTGACTTCATCTATCAGTTTGTAAAGAAAAGATACGTTAAGATCCACTCTAATCTCAGTGTATTTCATACTGCCCCTGACATAATTGGACCACCCAAATTTTCAAACTATGAAGAACCATTTCAGGTAAGTATTTAGAATATTTAAATAGATGAATTTCCCTCCGCGACTTTAACTTTGACATATGTAGCCAATATCACTTTTCTGAGTAACATTCCAAAGATTTAGCCGTCGTTATTGATTAAAAAGTTATTAACAAAAGATATAAATAGAATATAGATTTCTTTAACACCGTATAGATATAGTATAATAACGAGGTATATATATATATATATATATATATATATATATATATATAAACTTATACATAAAGGAAGAGGCTGAATCCCTCTTCCGCCCACATGTATACTATCTATAAACACATATCAGCAAATTGACTTTCCTTAATTAGCACTATTATATTTCTCAAACTTTTTTGTTAATAACGTTTTAATAAATAACGAACGACGACTAAAACCTTTGGAAGGTTACTCAGGAGAGTGCTCCCTATAATTATTATAGAAAACGAGAGAGACGGCCTCCCCATTCTCGTACTTTTCATTTGGATGTTATAGCATTGTCTCACTCGCACTAACTTCTTCCTTATAATTGGCAAACCAATCAGGAGTTATTACGCGGTGTCGTAACTCTTATATAATTACTAAAGAAACTCTAGTCAATTCCTGCTAAAAGGAAAGGCTGAATTCCTCTTCCGCCCACATGTATACTGTCTATAAACACATATCAGCAAATTGACTTCATATTTCTCAAACTTTTTTATTAATAACGTTTTAATAAATAACGAATGACGGCTAAAACTTTTGGAAGGTTGCTCAGGAGAGTGCTCCCTACAATATATATGTCAACGTCAAGGACGTAGAAGGTTGCTCTTCTAAACTAAATAATTATCCTATTTTATTCTTCGTGTTTCAATGGAGAAACATATTTCATAGTATGTGTTATCCGTTATATTATCCTGTACAAAGTAATCGGAATCTAAATTTATATGCTACGAGATTTTTTCTACATTTGATACATTTTGACTTTTCAAAACAGAAATTGAATCGATGGAATAATGATATCGACATTTCAATAACTCCGTGGCAATACGAAGAATCCATGACAACTTATCATAGTATACTATGGCCGCCATGGCATCAACTTAGAAGACCGATCGGAAATAATTATATTGGTATGTGATACCTGAATTCACAAGTAAGATATTATTAAAGAAAATACGCTTTTGTTGAGAAGAGAGTATAATTATAATTTCTTTTTTGAAGACATCGAGTTTCATGAAGCTGTATATCCAATCAGAGTTTCTATATACGAAATGTCACAAAACAATCCTGGAGACGTAATTCAAATTTCGGCTCAAGATGATTCTAATAATGAGTGGGTTAAATTGTGGGGAACTGATTATAAGTCTGAGATTGATTCTTATAATGAGTGGTTTAAATCGGGAAAAACTGATTTATATACCAGACAAGATTATTATCTTCAATTGACAACTGGAACTGATAATAAGTCTGAGATTGTACCCCCGACATCAAGATTATTTTCTCCACCCTTATCATACCCGCGTGACTTTAAAACGAAAATGCTAAGACTATTTTTTAAAGACCAAGGTACAGACTTCTGTAAAATACCTCTTTACACAAAGCTAGATGCTGTGATGCTTATCGGTACATCGGAGTTGGTTCGTCCTAGAAATTATGAGAAGAGTTTAACTAATCTGTTAAAGGAAATTAACTGCATGTACTTTCCACACCATGAAGATATTTATAATTTAACAGCAGATTTCAAAAATGCACACTTGGATATAAATTATCTGCAACGACATTTTTCTGAATATTGCATTATAATGGAATACTGTAGGGATGGAAGGTATTATTATCAACATTAAGTAATATATTAAAATTTCTTTATTCTGTTAATAATAAAAATAAATTTGTTCCGATGTTATTTGCAGCTACATACGAAGGGTTTCTAAGGAGAGTATTTTGAGAGAGAATTTGATGCACAAAAATGTATCTATGGAGGTAATTCGTCATTCGAATTATGCAAACTGTATAAAACTCTCTTCGGATGAATCTAAGGATCTATCACGTTGCAATATATCTGAGCTTCCTGTAAAGTATTCTAAGAAACCTATTTTTCATAATATTTATTGCAATATTATCTCGTGTATTAAAGTTTCATATTTTATCTCTGCAGAAAGAAATACTACTAATTATATTAAAAAACTTGGATTTGATGACGTTATGCCGCTTAAATTATGTAAATAGACGCTTCAATGATTTGATACGAGACCCTCAACTATATACACGTTTGAATATACACTGTCCACCTTCCGCAAAGTATTCTTATACTTTACAAAATAACAATATAAAGTATTTTGATATGGCAAGACGCGATATGAGCAATATATTTTGTTACTTTACATCTAGATGTAAATATTTGCAGCAGTTAGATCTTACAAAAAGCACGTTTGATGTTGAGGATTTTAAAAACTTTCTTGACAATTGTGGCAGGCGTTTGACTCACTTAAGATTAGAATACTGCAGCGATTCTATCAATAATCTTGCCCTACTTAAAATTTCAGAGATATGTGTAAATTTGAAAGGTATGTATATACTGCATATAAAGTATATGAAACATGTGATTGTCGGGATTATTGTATATGCTCAACACATATCTCTTTTTAGAATTGAATCTAAATTATTGTGATGACATAGACGACGAAGGATTTTCGTATCTAGAGAAATTAAATGGTTTGGAACATTTAAACCTTCGTAATACACGTATAACAGCTGAATGCCTTTACAAAATACTACAAAAAAATCAACGGATGCGTGAGTTCAATTTTGAACCCGGAATCTATATAAGAAATACAGCTGCAATACAGTTTATAAATTTGTGTCCTAACTTGGAAGTAATACGTTTAGAGGACTGTATTAATCTTACATCGCAGGATATTGACGTTCTCGCTGACTGTAAGAATTTACGAAAAGTGTACCTTCCCCAGTAAGTGTGAGCTTTTTAATTTTTTTTTCTTAATACATTACTATATTTGTGTTTGCTTCTCTTGCATTTCGAGGATCTTGAAAAAGTTACATTAATTTTCTTTGTGCTTCCTCATAGAGAAAGCTTCGTTTCTTGTGAAAAAATTTTTTCAGTTTTCTTTGCCAATGTGTTCTAAATATTCTAAAACGTTGAAATATCACATTTTTACAATATGTCCGTACGTGCGCGCGCGTGTGTGTGTGTATGTGTGTGTGATATCGAGCTAAATTTTTTTTATAGAATATTATTAAAGGAAGGTTGGTATTGAATTTGGCGATGATCGGTAAAGGAGTTCTTTAACTTTATAAAAATTTTGAATGTTTTGAGAAATGTCCGTGGTAGCTCTAACTTCCGCAAATTTTGAGATATTAGGCTATTTATAATTCCATTATATTCTTTAGTTTTTTCTACCCCTATTTCATAAGATTTGATTGATTATACCTAGCTTTATATACACGCGATCAAAGGTCTATATGCGGAGTCCTATATGTATAAACCGTATAGCCTGAACTTCCAAAGTCAACTTCGATTTGACATTGCGTCGATTGTAAAACCCCACTTGTGCTACTAACATAAGCTGATCTATCAATTCATAAAAAGGTTAAACTTAAAATTTGAAAAAAGTGTGCAAATTAGAAACTTGCTTCCTCATTATTACAGATCGATCGCTACCATTGCTCCTATTTTATTTGGTTCATAAAGCTTTCTCTATAAGGAAGCCATATTAATAAATACTAATAATTATGCATCAAGCAAAATACTCATAAAAGGAAGCTTTATGAGCAAAATAAGATGTTAAATTGTTCTGAATAGGAGCAGTTGTAGCAATCTGTAATAATGAGGAAACAATATGCAAATTTCTAATTTGCACAATTTTTTGTAATTGGAATACTATAATAATTATATGATTTTTGTTACAGTTTCCAACATTCAAACGCTGATGATTGCTTGCGCAGATTACTTACTTCCTGGCCACGTCTGGAATTAGTTGCTTTACAGTGTATTGTCCTTACTGATCACAATTTGAAATTATTAACGCAGTGCAAAAACTTAAAACAGTTACAACTTTATTGGGCAAAACTTGTTACACCTGATAAGTGTTCCATTATTTTAGAACAATGTCCAAAACTGCAAGAGTTTCATCTCTTATCCTGTAACATTGACGATTGTTTGGTTAACGAATGGAAAGAAAGATATCCGCATGTGTCCATCTATACACTTGAATGATAATTTGAATAGTTTTGTTAACCCTTTTGGGATATACATATGGGACAATCCACGTCACTTTTACCCCCTATCTGTCCAAAATTGGTATGGACGGATTTTAATGACTAAGGGCGGAAAATGATTGTCTTGAAAAGAGCTTTCGAAAGGCGTGTGGCATATATGCGCAATTCAACCAGAAGGTTTTCTTTCTATAGTCAAAATCGCTTTTCCTTCAAGAACTTTTCGATTAAAATCTACAATTAATTCTAAACGGGTATCAATTACACGTACCTCTTCTAATTAAGAATAATTAGAAATTAAAATATATACGTAATAAAGTAATGATAAATGTAATAGGTAAATATTATATATGACAAAAAATAATATATTGTAATAAAAAGGCAAATTTCTCAAATTTTTTGAAAAGTTTCTTGAAGATTTACTAAATTTCGACAAATAAAAATCGTAGATACAGTATATTTCCTCGCATAAAGCTTCAGAAGATAAAATACCATCTGTCGATCGAGTCGATTTTTATTCAAAAAAGAAAACAGTTTTCAATGTTTCCATGCATATGGAATTTTTCGATTTATACATAAAGCTCTGCCAGACGAACGTATTTTTAAATAATATTTGTTAAAGAAATATTCATGCAAGTTTTTACTCTTGTCTAAATTTGAAAAAAAGTTATCTGATTGTCAATCATAAAATTATTCTAAATCAAAAAAATTAAAATCCTGGGAGGACACATGCAATGTGTTAATGGAACATATAATTCGTATATTTCCTTTAACTACGAAAAGCAATAAAGTTCTTGTCACACTTATCATTTATTTTTTTCGTTTTTCTTCGCCTTTCTTTAAAATATAAACGTGTGCTTGCTTTATTCTTAATAATGTAAAAAAGAATATGCTGAAAACTGTATACTCATAAACTATAGAAGCGTATTCCTTACCCCCTCCATTGTTCCTATTGAGCCCGCAGCTGACCGCTAAACAAAGTAACCTCTGTATATCTGACACAATTTAATCATTCAGAAATGATTTTGTTTTAGTTCCATCATTGTAATCAACGTGAAATAGGATTTGTTAATAATATTATTTAATCTTTCTCAGTTTCTCACTCACCACGTTACTTCGCACATGTGGGCGCGTTCAGCAGACCAAGCCGCTCAGGAGCAGTCGAACGTGATTGGTTCTTACTTTTAGAACCAACCAATCAACGCAGAGTGTTGATAAGACGAACTCAACAGTTATGTCTGCTGAACGCGGCCATGGAATCAGCTGTGGGACCATCACTCTCGGTTGTGATTGGTGGCCGCGGTCAGCCAATCAGCAAGCGAGCCGCCGGATGCGCTTCCCTTGTTATTTAATTTATTAGGCAGTGGCGGCGGTCTACATACACTTGTTACGTCTATGGCGTATACCGTTGCACCAACACAACACAACTACACAACCTCTCTCTTGAGTCTCGACTCTCCTCTTCTTTCTCCCCCCGGGCGGGGTGTGTTTGTGTGCCCTGCTTCGCCATCCGTACGGCGTACTGTCACGCATCACCGTCAGCGGATCCCGGTTCGGGGCACCGTCGCGGGATTCGCCGTCGCCGCCGGGCCTCGATGAAGATGAAGCGGATGAAGAGCGAGGTGATCAGCGCGACGATTGAATCTTACCTGAAAAGGCGTCACTATCAGGTGCGGTGTCGCGGAGACTCGTCCGGAAGTTTTCATGCCGCGCGTGGTTCGCCATGAATGAGCGTGCGCGCTCATAACCTCCTACATCGCTGCTGTTGTTGTTTTTTTCCAGGACCACGACGTTTACCGCAAGGGCGATCAGTTGTTCTGTCAGAACAGCGATCAGACGACGTTGAGCGCGACCGCGGAGTGCGGCTCTTCGCAAGAGAATTCGATCGTTTTCAGTGCCATTTCCATTGACACCGTCGCGGCGAATCAGGCTTATCAGCGGTACAGTTTTTACAAGACTCCTTCTCAAACCGCGCGATGTGATTAGTGATTACTCGTTTCATCCAGCGAGATAAAGGCATTTTGTCGTCTGGTTGAATTCTACTAATTATAAATCTTAACATTTTATATTACAATTTTTTTTATTACGTCACAAGCATTGCAGTCAGTATAGCTTTCATGCAGCTCCAAGTTCTCAGGAAAGAACAGGAAATTTGATGTGTCCATCTTTAATTTTTCCTACTAGGTACAGAAGGTGCAGGCACGCAGGCAGTCTTCTGTTTCTATAATTTGTTCATTCATTCAGTGTTCTTTATCTTAAAAAAGGGAAAGTTATGTGATTGCTATCAAGAACATGAAGATGATCGAGATTTTGACATGACAAATGACTTTTAAATGGAATTCTAATTTTAAGATTGAGATTTCTATCGAAAAGTTGACATTAATTGATTAGAGACCCTCAAGTAAGTGTCTGGTCACTATGTGTTGATTGGTAATGACAAACCATGGTAGAACCAATCCAAAATATAAAAACAAAAGCGTGAAAACAAACCCAGCCTATATTTGTTATAATTTTTCATTTTTCTCATACAGAACATGTCATCATGTGTCTAACTAATATATAAACTTTATATAGTACATTGTTTTTAAACGCAGCCACTATTATTTGTCAAATTGACCAGATTCTTACTTGAAAGTCTCTATAATTAATGTGTGAATGCCATTTTTTTTTGCATACGTGACAAGTTGATTTTGAGGATTGCAAGATGCTAAAGTTTTAATCCTTTTAGATTCAAGAAATGGATGAATGCCATACTCAACGAAAAAATAAGAATAGAGTTGCTGGGACTTTTGTATCCAATATTTTGTCATCTTTACTTAGAGATGCTACATACTGGTAATCGAGAGACTGCTACCGATTTTCTAAGGACGCATCAGAATGAGTTTGTCAGCGAAACGGAGAAGGACTTTTTAGAAGAATTATCTAGTGTATTTTCGGTGCAAGATATTGAGTTGAGACCTTTGGTAAATGCGTTCAGAACTAGAAAGTATAAAGTAGATCTGTCTGAGTCGGCTCATATTTGCCTGAGACAATATCTTACCAAATACGGACATATAATATTAATGCAGGTAATACATATAATTAATTGCTTTCAAGTACACCTTCGTTAACCATCTAAATTCTGCTGAAGATTAATCTTTTTACATCAATCATAAAGATAATAATTTTATATCAAGGAGCTGTTTTATTTTTTAAATTTTGTTTAAAATAAAATTAATATTTTTAGCAACTTGAATTTCTTACAATTTTGTATAGATTATAAATACACACATCACAATAATCAGAAAGGCAGACAGTCCTCAAATGGATGGAGAAGTACCTGAAGAGAAAAGTCAAAGATATGAAGCAAGTATTAATGGCCATATGGAACAGCCATCTGGTACCGGTGTGGATCGTGAAATGAGAGAATTGCAGGAAGCTATACGATTGATGCAGAATAATGCTCATCAACCATTGAGATTATTTACGGTGAAGAATGCTATAGAAAAGCAAGTATCATATTATAATCTGTTCTATGATTCTTGGAATTACTTATGTTTAATGTATCTTTGTATATTATTGCAGTGCAAGTTGCGGTCTTATCGCACCTAAGATGGATAAGTTGGCTGTAGGTTTTAGTACAGCTGAAATACGCTTGTGGGGTATAGGTGAAACGGTCCTGGTCAAAACGAAAAATAAGCAAACGTGTGTTCCGTCTGCCTGTGATATATCACCATTTTATAGATTCAATGAACAAGAAAACACAGTGTGAGTTGCAATTGTATATCATTCCTTTATTTGAGTACAATATGTTAGAATAAAGAAGTAATTATATCATTTTACAGAAGAAGCGAAGCAGGGGCGATAATACTGAGAGGCCACACGGATGTAGTGCACGATTTACGATTTATCCCAGAGGTAGATATTCTCCTTTCTGTATCAAGCGACAAGGATATGAGAGCATGGAGACTCAATAACTATTCATGTACAGCAATATATAGGTAAATAATCCTATTTCTTCAAAATTTTTTTTGCAGCCCAAACATTTATGAAGAATTGAGTGTTGAAGTAATTTTTCATTCCATGTAGTAAATTTTCAACTATAAATCAAAGATATAAATTTGTTCCAAAGTAGATCTTTAAATCAAGGCTTCTGTTAATTTCAGTGAATTTTTTGTCTGCAGACTAATCACTTTTTTTAGAATAAGATTGAATTAAAAAAAACGTACATACAAAATAATACATGTAATGTATATTATATTAAATGAATAAAATGTCTGATTTCTAACTGTTCTTTTTCTTGTTACAGCGGTCATAGTTATCCTATATGGTGCATGGATACCAGTGTGTTCAATTTATATATTGCCACAGGTTCACACGACAGAACTGCAAAATTGTGGTCATTGGATAGAACATTTCCTTTAAGAATATTTGCTGGTCACTTCCTAGATGTCAATGTATATTTTTTAAATCATTACAAACTATTTTAGAATAGTAATATAATGATTGGATTTACGTATCTTCTATTTTCAGTGCATAAAATTTCATCCAAGCGCAAGATACTTAGCGACTGGTTCTGCGGACAAAACAATAAGGCTATGGTCGAAAGATGACGGGAATCTACGGCGAGTGTATGTTGGAGCGCAATCGACCATTTACACCTTAGCTTTTAGTCCAGATGGCAAATATCTGGCAGCTGCGGGTAATTATGTGAAAAAAAATATAAGACGTAAAATTATATTAACAATGAATTGTTAAATGACGGAAACTTTGTTTCATTCAGGCGACGATAAGTCCATATCTATATGGGATTTAGCAACTAATGGTTTATTGACTGAATTGAAAGGCCATAAAGATACCGTTATGAATGTAGACTGGAGTTTAGATGGTCAGTACATCGCCAGTGCAAGCCTAGATGGAGTCGTACGACTGTGGCCTACTCAAGATTTCGTCAAAACATTGAATGGGTATGCGCTAAATACTTCTGTTTTTCTCAAATTTAGATTTGTTTACATATTGCCTACTCTTTTCAGAGGATCGTCAAGCGCTTTGGCGCAATCAGAGGCGCCACAAGTTTATTCAACAAGTTGCTCAAGCATTCTCTCATTGAATTATTATAAGAAAAACAATTCGTTGATTTGTATCGGCACTAAGTAATCTTCTTTATTATTTATTATCGTGCTAGTCGAATATAAAACGTACTTTAAAATTAATTTCTTTTTTTATTTGATACTGTATAGTGACAATTTTCCGCAAACATGAGACTGTCTTCGTTAAATTGATTTTATACATATGATCTAAGATTTGGTCATGCTATCCATGATAAGTTTTTACAGTATTTATAAGAAATGCATCATCTTTCAGTATAGGCCTGTTCGTTTTCGCTGCACTTCTGAACGAGGGCAATGAGTTAGAATAAAAGAAAATATATTTGTTTCATTTTGACTTGTTGCACTAGTTCAGAAGTGCAGCGAAAACGGACAGGCCTTATGTTGCATATAACTAAATTCATATTACTATACTTATTGATTTATTGTACCTTAATTTCATTTTGATTATTTTTAACGCTTTTATCACCAAAGGTACATTCGTTTCTCATTCATATCGATTAAACCCAGTGAAGATTTTTTATTTTTCAGTTATGTTTATCATCAATTCACTTTAGTATTCAATGTCGTTTATCTCATGAGATTAAATATGTCGCTTGTCAAGTTTACCGCAAAGTGCAACGGAAAATTTTAAGTTTGCAATGAGAAAGAGAATATATGAATTTAGTAATTTTCAATGAGAGAAATTATCAGACATTTATGTATGTGTAACTGTGTACGTAAGTTTCCTGTGGGAATATTGTCTAAGAAGATTTATTGACAATTTTCTGTCTTGTTATAAAGACTTTGTAAGTTGTGAATAATGTTAAAAAGTAGCCAAAAAATACAAATTTTTTTTATAAAAACCAATGCGTATATTATTATTACGTGATTCGTTATATTTAAAAATTATAGTCTCAATTCCTGTTTTTCTTTTTCTTTCCGGCTTTCTTCTTCCGAACGATGGTCGACTCTTGCTGAATTTCTGGCTTCCGTTTCAACGTTTCTTTCACAGTGGAATTTTCTTCAGTTGCGCTAGTATCGATATTCAATGGGGGAACGCTGAAATCTGGGATCTATAATCCAACAAATTATTAGAACCATTAAAAATATATGTATATGAATATTTTCGCATGCTCCCTTTCCTTACCTCTGGTTTTACGAGTTTAAAGAATAATCTTTCATGCTGAACATTAGATCTGTCCAAACTCATTTGTACAACAATAGGATCAAATGCCCGAAATACGACCTCGCCGCAGGTTTGGGATTGATCCTCCGAATTGTACGTGAACGTGACGGACGACGAAGCAGACTTGAGATATACGGTGCCTTCCAAACCATATTTCGGTATAAGCACTTGCAAAGCATTTTTTCGTACAAAAAGAATGTATCCTTCCTCATCTTGAACCTTGTTGCGGAAAAATATCTGAAACGCATAAAACAGTTGGAATTTTTTCTAAATAATATTCTATATCGGAGTATTGAATAGCAAGGTTGTCAAAGAGGGAACTTCATAATAAATCAAACTAACGTGTGTGTGCAGTGCGACTGACGCTCGGCCGGCATATTGCGCCATTCGATTCCGATAATTTAGATTATGGCACAATAAGTGATTCTTCTTTTTATCCAATAGCTCTGGATAAGTCGCGTCGGCACCTATACATACAGCTAACAGTCGGTGCACAATTATATCTGCGTATCTGTAAGATATAGATTATTAAGAAACCGTGAATTCAAATTAATTTAATAATAATGTTCCTTAACGGCTTTCAAACGGCTTACCGTCGAATAGGAGATGTGAAATGTGTGTAAATCGGGCACGCTAATCCGTAATGCTTGAATTCTTCTGGTTGGTGCATTCCGCTAATAAAATATACCGCTTGCAACATACATCGCGTAGCTAATATTTTTAACATTGTGTTGAAGTAAGGATTCGATTCCTTTTTAGTTTCTTCCAGTGATCGGGCTAATTCCTTACCAGTATTTGTATTAATAGTAAAACCCTGTAAAATCAATTTTAAGATGAATATATTGCAGCGCTATCGCTATTAAATAACAAAATAACTGATAACATTGACAATAGCTCGAATTCCTTCTTTAAATCCAAAAATTGAAGGAAATAGAATTTTTTAATTTTAAAATCTTAAATACCTTTGTAACTAAACATGGAATTACATGAAGTTTTAAGCTAAGTGGCAATACCTGATTTTTGGCAGCTTTAATCAACGGCTCAAAATTACTTTGTGGTGGTTCCGGGTGTCTTCTTAACATAGCGCACTCCGGAAATTCTGCCAATATTTTTTCAGCAACGCTAATGTTCGCGAGCAGCATAAATTCCTCCACCATAGAATTAGTCTCTCTCAACTTCTTTGCCTCCACGTCAATGGGATCGTGCGTTTCGCTATCCACTTGAAAGCGTATTTCCGGTGACGCTAAAGTTAGAGCACTGCAAATAAATTATTTAAAATTTAATTTGTCGTGAAAAATGATTGGGTATAATTTAAAATAATTCAGTATAGATATTGCATCTCTGAATAATCATACCCATTCTCTAAACGTTTCTTCTTTAATTTCTTTGCCAATTGATTTAATCCTCTCAACGACACCGCGATAGCATCCCGCTGAGTGGCATCGTCAATTTTCAATTGAGCTTCCTCATACGTCATTGCTTGACGCGAGCAAATTATAGATTTGCAGAATCTCGTATCGATTATGTTTGCGTCGCGGTCGATTTCCCATATACAGGAAAACGCAAATCGTTCTTCCTCACCTCGTAAGGAACAAAGATTTGAGCTAAGCAATTCTGAAATAAAGAAACATTTTATGTTAATTTGCGTTACACCTACCTACAATGTTACTCAAAATGAAGTTATCTTACCTGGAACCATGTCGATTCGTTTATCAACAAGATATACGGTGGTAGCGCGTAATGCTGCTTCTTTGTCCAGTGCAGTCCCAGGCCTTATAAAATGGGATACATCTGCAATATGCACACCGACATCGAAATTACCGTTTGGTAAACTTCTGCAATGTAACGCATCGTCAATATCAGTACAGCCTGGTGGGTCCACGGAACAGATGTCTAGATGTCGGAGATCTTCTCTTTGCGCAACATCCTATAAAGATATATAAATATATGTAATATTTTTTTATAAATAAATAATATTCTGTGCAATTCTGCATAGCTACATTGTTCAGCTATTTATACTCGCAGTTAAATCATTCTTTATACGATCAATAGTTCAAGAAAATTAGCTAATACAACAAATTTTAGACCAAATATGTATACGTACCGCTTCCGTAATAATCCATGGTAGTTTTGGAAGGAAGCTAAGAACAGCATCAGAAAAACGGCTGTGTGGAACATCATGTTCCAAGAGTAATACTTCATTCTCTGTCTCTTTGTCTCCTATATTACCAAGTGCTCGTACAAAGTGGCCCAGCGGATATCTTGAGTTTCGTGGCCATGAATCCAGTGCGACAATAATTCTCTGCTTGCTCAGTATCTCGGCTTGTCTAGTTTCAATTCTTATTTTCGGAATTTTTCTCTCGGCCGGAACAAACAGATGCCTTACATTCTACGCACACCGATAACAATATATAATAGAACAGATATAAAAAAATTATTATGTCATAATATGAAAGATTCTTTACCTCTTTAATTGCACTCGGTTGCAATATTCCACAATACTGTCTCCATTTTCTCCTGATAATACCAACAATTTTGCCCGTCGGTATTTTCTCTTGCATTTTTGATGAGCTCTGTTTACGCAGTATTTTCTCATCTTCCGCAACGTCATCAGCATCCGCACCTTGTTCATCTTGCAAAACAATTTCACTGGGTGATGACCACTGATCTTCTGGCAGAATTTCAACTGCGACTATATCGCCATCAACTGCTCTATTTAGATGAGATCGTCCTTGCACAAATATCTAAGGCAAATAAAACAATAAAAATAATGACACTTGTTAAGAGATTATTACGTATGTATTGTCGAATTTAAGAAAAAAAATCAGCAATTCATGTTGCTTAATAGATAATGAAAGTTTTGAAAATCTGATGTGACAAAAATGTAGTTTTTAAATTTTCAGTTACATTGCTCACTTATATTAATATCCATTAAAACTTAAAAAAAGATTTACATGAATTTATAAAAATCATGCGACTTGAGAGGTTTGAATAAATCGTACATAATTATTTTCAAAATAGATGTTCAATGATTTTCTCCTTCAAACCGACAATATTAACGTTATATTTAAATATTCACGAATGATTATGTATCTTACAGGTTTCTCTCTTCCTTCAACATTCACATTTCCTTCGAGGAAATTCTCTCTCGATGCCAAAAATGTTCCTTGTAACAGTTTCCCGGATGTTATACCGTCGTGCATTTCTGTGGGTGCTAGATGACAAGGAAACAATTCCGGGCCTTGGATATCCAAAGTATAAGAACGTTTGCATAATTTATCCAGCAGAAAACTTGAATTTTCCAACGATGCAACATAATCTTCCACTGTGAAAAAGATGTATATATTATTCAATGTACTATCAAAGTGATATAATTTAATAGAACAAAATCAAGTATATCTTACTCGACACAACAAACAGTCCCTCTTCAGCGGCACGTGTTCTATTTTCTACATCATCTGTTAGCAAAATAACTTTTACATTGTCGCCATCAGAGTTCAAATGGGTATCGTACCATTTAACTGCAACTCGTATCGCTCTGTCATTACGGTCATTTATCTTTTCACCTGGTTCTCTCTCAATATAAGTTTCCCTGGAAGTAACATTGTAAAATAGTTATTATGTACAAATATATACTGCATAAAATATATTATGAAGCACGTCAAAAGAACAAAATGTTAAAGAGAGTATAGTATAATATTAAATATATAATCTTCTTTTTCCTCCATAAAATAATTATTACACACCGATGATGTTCATTGATAAACACAAAAAATTTCCTCGTTGGATTTCCTATGATGGCCTTCAATTTTTTGTATACAGTGGAACTTTTGTGCCGAATTTCTTCCAGTACTGTTTGCAGAATGATTACATTGGTGATAACGTCTTCCTCCAAGATGTCAATCTGTAATTAGAAATCAAACTTTAGACAATCCGACAGGAAATACGTGTTTTAACACTGTATAATACATTCAGTGTAATACTTACTTGATCCAGAATTATATTTGTGTCAAGTACAAGAAAATATGGGCTGGGAATTAAGGAAGACTTTGCACCAGCATCTTCCTCCTCCAACACCATGTCCCGAGGCCTCGCCTTGCACTTCGTACACGTTTTAAGGCCACAGTAAATATCATCTCTGAGGTAGTGCTCCCTGACGGTCTGATAAGAGAAAATTATAACTCAAATATCATTCTTGTTCATAAAGTTTTCGAGGTACGTGAGTTCAATTTTATGTTCGAAATTTCTGAAAAGACTTTAGAATATTACCTTAAAGATTTTCCCTCCCTTCGTTTTTCTAAAAAAGATCTTTGTTGTTAACATGTTGTTAACAACATTTATTTAAACACTGTTAACACAACGCGAATCTTCCTCTTCAACAAATCTATCCTGTTGGAGTTTGGAGGTTATGTTATGTTAGGAAGTGGGCACGTGTATAGGTGTATAGAAAGGTAAGTACTTGTGACGGCCGCAAGATGTCGCTCCAATGCTTGAATACGTCTGCCGTGTTTTGAATTCGCGCTATTAGATGGCGCTAGATTATTCGATGACCGATGGTCGTCCACAGCTTGTCCTGTGTCCTTTGCAGGTGGTCTTGTGCAGGTGTATCTTTGTATTCCTGAAAAAAGATTTGGGGATTGAAAGTTGAAAGGGTGACTCCAACAGAGTACTCACTAGCTTAACTAGAAAAATTAATCAAAGAATTGCTTATAGCAAAATTTCTAACTATATAATTCGTTGCCCCTGATTTTAAATCTTTTTCTGCTGTGTTAAACAGCAAGAAATTAACAATTTTATCTATGTTATAACAAAATAAATAGTACAGGCATTAATTAATAAGTTAATTATCAATTAAGTTAATTGAAGCCGCCATAAGAAGTCGACTGAATTCCGATTAACTCAATTGGCGATTAATTCAAGAATTAATTGCTTTTCAGGTAGCAGACTGACGTCTAAAGACGTCTTAGGGCCGGATGACGTTTTATTGACCGTTATTAATACGCCATTTGACGTTATTCTGCTACCTGGGTTACCTCAAAGTAGCAAACTCATATTATAATTAATCGTTCCTGACCACGGTCTTACATACAGGTCTGGAAACTCAGACCGATTTCGGTGGTGGGGGATGGTCGTTTTAGCATGGAAGAATTTATTTCACGGCGTTGTCACTATGCATCGCTGTCATCGCGAAGTGTAGATGGTAACCCATGGTAACGTGACAACAATTTTTTAATTGCGCTTAATTCAAGTGCATTTTTGAAAATGACATATAATGCACATCCTCAGTCGCTGAATTTGTAAACATGAAAAGTCACGGTGGTTTGAAACATGCAAACCACCATTTTTTTCATCTTATTCGATATGTTGAATCGTGTTTTGCAAAAAATGCCTCGCACTTGCATGTATTTAAATGGTTTTCTTAAAACGAATAAAAAGATTTCTAACGTTTTATTCTTAATGCAAAGTCATTTATTATTTCTTTGAGCTAAGTTGAAATACTTTCTTCGGCTCCTGAGGACATGGACAGCGACATGGATTGAAAATAACATCTTTCTCATGTAAATCTTTTTTTATATGACATTTTCTTTCTTTAAATAACTGTAACTAGTCACAGTAAAAAGGTCGATATCGACCTTGATTATGTGTACAACTACATTGATATTTTTTGGAATAAGAATGTATATAAATATTGAAACCTGTAAATTAACTATGGATTCTCGAAACGGGTAATTATTATTTACTTCATATTCCTTTACTCATAGCCTTCAACTTTCTAATTAATCTTATAAAACCAAGGCATACGTAAGGTAAGAATCAGAATTAATACAAGTCAACCGCTCTCATACCGAGAATCACGCGTCATCTTTAAATATTGTAAATTAAGAATAAATTATATATCAATTTATTAATTTGCGCATTCGTATAATTGGCCTTCCGTTTTTTTTATGATCCGGTGTTCGTTAGAATTAAGTTTCTCGTTATGAGAAACAATTTATATTGATATTGTTTATTGATATCGTTTGTATTCGAAGAGAGATATTTCTTTTCCATAAAATAACATTATATCTTACAAAGTAAATTATTTCTTATTGTTTTATTATAATTAGATTCCAAATAAAGGATGAAAAAGAGCTTGGTCGAAATAACTAACTATTGTAAAACAAAAATCGTGTTGTCTATATTGTTCATTTAGCAATCTAAAACACACTAGGAAGGCACAGTATTATATATGCTTCACGCAGAATTTTTATTCCCTCAGTATCGCTCGGTCAGTATTTGTCCTTATAAAGAAACGAATAAAAAGATTTCCAACGTTTTATTCTTAATACAAAGTTATTTATTATTCCTTTCCTCATTTGAAACTTCAATTATTGCCTATTTGACACTCACGATTTTGAATTTACTAATTACTATTTCCGTCCTTGTCCTACCACATAATACACTGACCGATGGCAGCGACTCTTACGGTCACAAAGCGAGTTATTTTCTTCGTCGCTAAGGCGACCATCCCCCACCACTAGAGTTTCCAGACCTGTATGTAAGACCGTGTTCCTGACTTAATCCTTCCGAAAAATTAATAATTTTATTGTATAACAAATTATCATGTTATTGAAATAATATTAGAGATACTATTTGATAAATTAATCGTAGTTTGGTCATCCTGATAATTTCACGATGATTTGAGATAATCCTCAATTTAGCTCATCAATTGTTACATTATAATTAATATAATATCTTATTTATTAACATATAATTATAATATAATATTTGCATGTATGAATAGAGTATATATGTATAATAATTATAATTCTCTATGTATAAATGTACGATTAACTCCAAAGCATATTTCCAACCTAAGCTTCAATTGAAAACTATATATAAATTTTACAAAAATCATAAGCGTATATTATAAATTTGAACAAACTATAATATATCATACATTAAACGTGTAATTTTATCAAGAGGTTTAATTAGAATTTAATTAGAATCGAAAGATTTATAAAAGGTTGCGTTAATCACATCATTTCAAGGCCTTTTCCATTTTGCTATTATAATGGCAATGAGGCTCTTTATGATTAAAATTCCAGATTTATACTGATCTTGGTAGATTTCGCAAAGAACGTAGAGCGCACGTATAAAACAATTTAAATTATTTATCTTATCATTTGAATGATAACTATCGCTATTATAGATCCGTTTCATTATTCATTCATTATTTCAGATAGATTCTCCGATTTATCCAGAAACGAGTCGCGCAACCGTGAATCGGGTTCGCTTTTCGAACTCGGATCGAATCGACGAACGTGCTTCCGTACGACGGCGGTCCTCTCCCGATTGACTTATTCGTGAAGGGAGCCTTATGTTATTCGTTTGGCCCAATCTATCGCTTTCGACGTGGGCGGGAAGGGACAAGGGGGGCAGGCGAGGACTTTTACGAGCGGTGGCGGACCGCGTAGCGGCGAGAAGGGCTCAAGCGCGTGCAAGCAACGCCCGCGTCGTACGGGTAAAAGGATAACGCAATATTGTGCGACGGCGGGTCACCTTTAACGTAAACATTTACGCCTCGTGGCAACGCTAAAATATGAAGCCGTCGCTCCGGACGGGAGCCGCGGTCTAGCTCCAAATAATTTACGAGGTCCCCTCGCGCGCGCGCCGGGGATCGACAATGTCCCGCTTCTTACGTTCCGCGCCATTTGGGTCGTGACTCGCAATCAGTACTCGGCTTCTCAGAATCTCTGTCTTTCATTTACGACTGATTATTCGATTCGCGGCACACGAAAGTGCTCGAAATTAAGGGATCATTATGAATAAAAGATTATCGGGAGTGTCTGAAACAGCACAAAATTTGAAAAGTACGCTTTGTTAACTCTCTATAATGCCATAACTTTCGAAGTCACACACTCATATTTTTTAAGTCTTATTTTATTTTTTGCCACACTTAGCGTAGCATCTTATTTTAAGTTACAAACCGTTTTTTATAATAAAAAATTTAAAGATTGTAAATTAATTGTTAGTTTTTTATCCGAAGTTTCGTTTGCCAGCTTTACGTTATATAATTTTGTAGACGCAAAAAATTGGGTTATAGAGGATTAATGAGTGCAAATAAATATTTAAAAGTTATAAAATTAATTAGGATTAGTATTTGTACAAAAATAATTATTTTAATGGGCGTTCTGGATAGGCATATAATATCCTTTGACGTTATCCTAGTTTCCATTTCTTTCCATTCTACCGCAGTCATCCTCCGCCTAATCCCTTGCTCTTCCAGTTCGTTTCAGGTTTTCCCCATTTTTTGACGTTCTGTTAGCCGTCATTTCATTATGCGAATGCATTTAATGCCGAAGAATAACCGCTGTATCGCGAGCGTTTCGTGTGCGAGACGATCGAGGAGCTTCCAGCCACGGCTATAACGTCCCGCACGGAACGTGACCGCGTGGTAATCGCTCCTGTCTCGCCTCGCCGCGACAAACGACTATAAAACGGCAGTAAAATCGAACTCGGGGGGGGATGAGTCCAAATACGGGACTAAGGTAGAAGGAAAGAGAAGGAGAGAGGATGAGGGAGATCAGTTCGGGTCGAGAGGGTCAGTATTGCTTTGACATTACCCAATCAAAACAGGGACTCCCTTCTACCGTTTCTCCGGCCGTTCTTCAAATAATAAGCGGATCGATGGATAAAGGCTCCTTTGGTCTTTGCGCGATTTATCGCCTTTTGATAACCGCTCGAGAGAGCGCCGAGAGATCGGTGCAAACACATTTGAGTTCTCCGTTGCTGCCGGAAAGTGTAACTGGATCTCGAAAGAGTTTGGAGCACGCCAGAGATTACGTAGATTTTCGTATAAACCTATTATTTCCCCTGTGATATGGTATATAGTTGTATAAAGTTATGAAATTATAAAAGATTGTATTTGCGCCAAAGTAATTCTATTGGGGCAAAAGTAATTATTTTAATGACTTATTATTTTTATTTTTTTTAGAGACGCTAGACAGAACTTAGAAAGGTGCGATCGTAATCTTCTCTCCATTCATTACTCTGTTTAAAAGCTCGCGGAACTTAAAACAAGCTCGTGAATACATGTATGTGTATATTGTATATTATAGAGATCAAATCAGAAAATGAGCGTGTAATGGACATCGGGTTTAAAGAGTCGATCGTCATCATTCTCGGCGGACCAACTTGTCGACAATAGCGCAGTAACGACCGCAATGGCGGGATGGGGAGAGGGTGGTACGAACAATCGAACACGACCGACCGGTCGATGTTGCTAAACATGGTCATTGTGACGGGTTAACAATACCCCGCTATATCAGCAACATCGGCGTCCGTAAGTCTCAGCATTCGGTCAACAAATCGCGCACCCGGCCATGAGGCAGCTGAAAAATATCCGCGGCCGCGGTCTGACCGCCGTTATTC